GACAGGTGCAATTTGTGTTATTATTAATATTTTTTATTTATTTATTGTAGTGCCCCCAAACAAACTCGATTTAAATATTATGTCAGCGGCTATTGCTATCTCCCTCTCTCTCTATCTCTCTCTGTCTGTCTGTTCGCTTTTGGGTCATGATATCATTTGAAGCAGAGCTTATTACTCATTCGCGCCAAAAAAAAGAAAAGAATAAATGGAAATACATAAATCCAAGTAAAAGGGGGTTGTAGATATTCAGTGATGTCAGAACAGTTTTATGGGCACTGTACATTGGTCTAAAACGCAATTTGTTTTGATTTTGCGTTGCAGCTGGAAAGAGTTCAATGAACAATGAATGCACTGCTTGTTAAAAGGGGGTTATATTGTAAGCAGTGCATTAAGCGGTCACACTAAATCGAACGCAGTTGGACGTAGTTTCTTTGCTTCAGTCAACAGACACAGTCGCACTTGAACACCTCCAATGTGGCGTACCATTCATATGTGTGTATGACATGCTAATGAATCACGATGCGTTTCGTACAACGCCAACCGCAATCGCAACCGCACCCACTACGTTAAATCGAACGTAACGTTAGCTTCGTGGCAGCTGGCCGAACTAATACGAAGTCGAATCGTCGTATGCTTTGACACGTTGCTAAACACATTCTGACGAATGCTTGCGCTCGGGCGCCTACGTAGTCAAGTTTTTAGCTTTTGTTGTTGCAATTGCGCGTTATCTTTTTACTTTCATGCGCTGGGATCGCTCATTCCCTCTCTGTCACTCTCGTATGTAGTACGCACGCTCTCTGCGCTGCAAACTTGCTCCATTCCAGAAAACTTGTTTGGGCTGCGTGCGTGCTGCTTCTCTCTGTCTCTCTCTCTCTCTCTCTTTCGCACACAGCTCCATTGGGAAGGCAGCAGCAGCAGCAGCAGCGGCTTATTGGTTTGTTTTGTGTTTGAACTTCTTCCAGTTCTTTTGCTGCGTTCGAAGCAGACGGCGGTCCGCAGTATCGCTTGTAATTTAACAGTTGTTTCAACAGTGTGTGCGTGTGTGTTTTGTGTGTGTGAATTAGCCAAGTTTAATTAACGCTAGACACGCCAATCCAACTTTGCACATTTTTTGGCGCCAAGTTCCTTTTATATATAAAGCAAAAAAGAAATAAATTACAATTATGGCCGGTGGCAGCAAACGTTACTCACGCAATAACTCTAATGGCAACTTCCAGTCCCTGCCCGAGCGTGGCCCAGGTAAATGCTACAACAACAATAGCAAAACCAACGAAAAGAAAATCAAATAACTGTATACGAGCTTATCAACTGTCTACTTTGATTTATCATTAAGCCTTATCTATGCTCTGCCCTGTTGCCACTGTTCGATTGCCAACGTCAGCAGCGCAGCCAGCGTGGCCATTAAATCGCTGCACAGCAACAACAACAACAACAAAATTTACCTTTTGCATAATTTGCTTTGGGCTGCTATTTTTGTACGATCAGCTTTTGAATTTTGATTGCCACGTCGAAAAGTTGGTTGAGCTAACGGCGCAGTCAACGAACTTACCAACAGCAATAAAAACTTAACGAAATCAGACAGGCAAAAGCATATTCGATCATTTTATGCTTGCACTTGCAATCGCACTCTACTACTTGCCGCTGCATTTGTGTGTGTGCGTGTGTGTTTAGTTTAATTCAAGGTTATCTTAGCCGCGTGCTCGCTAAATACACGCTTGAGATGTTGCGCGTGACATCACAATCACGCACGACATGCAAATTGAAGACATTCTCAGTCATCTACTTTGCATAAAAGTTTTTTTGAAGGGAAGTTGTTCTTGCTGCGAAGTATAAGATCTTAAGATTGTATTTGGTTACATAATTCAAATCAAAATTCTACTCTTGCGCTTGGAAAGCAGCAAGCAAGAAAGAGAGTTACGGAAGTTAACGTTCGCACTTCCTTTTATTGCTGAAACATGTGTAAAGAGAGAAAAGTAAGAAGCTTTAGATTATAAGAGTTGCAATTTGTACTTATATTTTACGTATACTGTGAAATTAAGTACAGATGCAATTATAAGAATACTTTTAGCAGTATTCACGCTGTCATTGACGCACATCCCTAAAATACACACATTCACACACGCTCGTTCTTATACGCACACACACACTTGTTTCTTATCTAGGCACTTTTGGTGCGCTTCTTTTTTTTGTTTTTTGTAAAGACGAGACTCCACTTCACTTTCAGCGCAAACTTGTTTGTGATTTAAACCAGTTAGCGATTGCCCACGACATCCCTGTTCCAGATCGCACTTCCAGTTCCAGTGGCCAATGCACTTCTGCTTCTTCTTCGTTGCTTTATCAGCCTATACGCTTTCAATATGTTTAATTGTGACGACGTCTCTTTTTCAATTGATAAAGAGACAACCACAAAGAAAACTTTCTCTCGCAGCGCTTTCTTTCATATGAGAAAAATAATATGTATATACACATTTGTATGTAGGTCTTTGTATATGCTCGCATTTTGGATTGTCTTTTAACCCAGTTTCAATTTGTTGCCCATCTCTTGTTTCCTTTCTAATTTACTGTCGATTTGCATAACCTCCAGACTTGTCTGCTTGGCAACTAGCTGCTGGTAGTATTTTTTTGTTTTGTTTTCTTGTTTAACCCACCCCCCCCAAAACTAGTTTTTTTTCTTCTCTTCCTATTAGCTTAGCTGTTGCTGCTTATGTTTCTTTCGTAGGTGCTCTGTCCATGATCTGCTCTATTGGAAGCTTTCCAATGTGTGTCTGCGATGCGCTGCCCCTTCCCCTTTGTGCTTTCTAACAGCTGCTTTTTGTTTTTAACATTTCCATTGAGCTCCAGCTGTGAGCCTGTGCGCAAGCAGTGTGTGAAAGAGTGAGTGAGAGTGTGAGTTATCGAATTCTTATTAGCAATGAAGAGTGAGAAATCTTATTCAAAAATATGTTATTCCGATTGGAAACATAGATGAGACCTCTATTATTCTGATCTAATTGGCTTTTAGCTAAGTTATTGATTGAATGACTAGTATATAAATACTTAAGCTATATTTCAACCTAAGTAACCACACGCACTCACACTAATACACTGGGTATAATGCAATTGAAATAATGTTTTTGCACCTATTTTGAAAAGTGATTTAAAAATAGAAGAGGGCGCAAAGCAATGAAGAAAACACACAAAATTCGTGTTTAATTAAACGCACATTGTTTATTGTATAATGGATCAAGAATCCAAAAGAGAAGCAAAAAAAGTAACGTCTTCTTGAGTACTCTATTTATAGGTGAATCCAATTGAAAGATTCTTCCGCCAAATAGAAACTAATAGAAAAATCGAAATTTCACTGAATTCGCTAGGCGATTAAGTGCATTGACTGCTTATCGGATAATTTCAATGGGATCGAGTGAGAGTGAGAGAGAGCGAGTGCAAGGAAGGGGGTAGTTATCGGTTATACGCTATATATCATTCATGATCTTTAAAAAGTGCTTTTAAAGTGTTTCAATTCACATCCGTTTCGCTCTCTTAGAATTTCACACTCGCTCTCCTCTCTCTCTCACTTTCTCTCTTCCTCTCTCTTGTGCGTGTGTGTTCTTTTTTCCGGCTCTGCGGTCCGGAATATTTTGTTTGAGGCAAATAATATTTGTCTAGTATAAAACTTGGCAACGAACGCCTCAAGCAACGATCGCAACAACGAATAAAAATGTCGAGCAGAATCTGTGAGTGAGCGATATATAAATATATATAACTATAGATATATCATATATATATATATATATTTATATATATATATATATATATATATATATATGTATATATATATACTGTGTAGCATATATGCTAATCGTGTTACCAATAATTATTAGCTGGCATTTGCATGGGCTGCAGCATAGTTTATCTGTGTGTGTGTGTATCGCATAGATTGCATAATTGTTAAAGCAAAAGATACACGCATACACATGCATACATATATAGACAGCTGTCTAATGATCTATATGTGTGTGTGCTTTTTGTATATTTTGGTCTTCTTCAGTCACTCGTCAACTGTTCGCATTGCCAAACTTGAAAAACGAAATGAAATAAGAAAAAAATCTGAGTGCAAATGCAGGAACAGCAGTAGCAGTGCTTGTCAAAGTGTATTGACTTCATGTGCTTAACTCTTATACGTTGCTTATAGAACTGTAAAGTGCGTATATCACAACGAACATTTTACTTCATGAGAACTGTAGAAGTTGTTGCTTTCCTAGCGTAAGCTTGAATAGCTGAAAACTGTAACTGCATTCTTGATTTACCGTTAATGAAACACATTTTAAATATATCAATGGCACCAATAGCTCTAAAGCTATTTGGCTATGAATAATTCTCAAACTGATGCAGTCATAGAATATATAGTCTTATACTAAATTACTTCAGTATAATTTCTACCAACGTTTACGTGTGCTTGCCAAACTGTAAATACGCTTTGAATGCCTCTTGACTTGTGAAGGGCAACACAACTTTCTCTTACTTACCAAACTGTCGACATCAATAATAATAATATCAAGCTTTGATTGCTTCTAATACTTTAGCAGTCATAAGGCCTTATTATCTTATAATTCGTATAATACTGAAGTAAACAGTTCAATTAATTAAATAATAATACAAATGTCCTTATCAACAGTAAGCGTACATCATGAGTTTCTTAAACTGCTACATCTGCTTTGAAAATCAGCTAGTGTTAAGCAAACACTATATTGCTCCTATACGAAAACAGTTTGATTCTCTTATACCCATGAACCATAGATATGCATATATGACTGTAAAACTGTAGAAAGCTTGTCAAAATAGAACAGCTTTAAGGAGCGCTCTTTTGCTCTTATACTAAGCTCAATATAATAAACCATGTGATTGTAGCTGTAACTGCAGTATTCCAAGAGCTTTCTGCTTCTCTTATGCTTAAGTACTTCTCAAACTGTTAACAGGCAAATAAACTAATTTATATCTTTACAATTTCTTCTCATTTCCAGTCGAATCGCTGATCTATTGGCGCGATGTGAAAAAGTCGGGAATTGTATTCGGCGCAGGCCTCATCACCTTGGTGGCCATCTCCTGCTTCTCGGTGATCAGCGTCTTTGCCTATTTGTCGCTGCTCACTCTGGTCGGAACTGTCGCCTTCAGAATCTACAAATCTGTGACACAGGCGGTGCAAAAGACAAACGATGGACATCCCTTCAAGTGAGTAGCGAGAGAGAGAGAAAGAGAGGGGGAGAGAGAGATGTACAACATGTGTTTCCCTCTTATAGAGAATATTTGGAACTGGATCTGACGCTCTCGCAGGAGAAGGTGCAGCACATTGCGGGCGTGGCTGTGGCCCACATAAACGGCTTCACGGCCGAGCTGAGGCGTTTGTTCTTGGTTGAGGATATAATTGATTCGATTAAGTTTGGTGTTATCCTGTGGGTTTTCACTTACATTGGCGCTTGGTTCAATGGCATGACGCTGGTCATACTAGGTAGGTCCACTAACCATATAGAGATAGATAAAGATTTGTAATAATATATATTTCCTTACTCGATTAGCCTTCGTCTCGCTGTTTACCTTGCCCAAGGTCTATGAGAATAACAAACAATCGATCGATACCTACTTGGATCTGGTGCGCAACAAGTTGACAGAGATTACCGACAAGTGAGATATATACCCAATACATATATATAGTTAAATATGTTAACTAATTCTGATTCTGTTTATGCTTTTAGAATCCGAGTAGCTCTGCCCATTGGCAACAAAAAACCAGTTGCAGCCGCCGAGTCGGAAAAGGACAAATAGAAAGCAAATAACAACAGCAACAACAACAACATGTTTATTTATTTATTAAGCATTATTTGAATGATTTAAAATATTCATTTGGGGCATAACAAATAAATACATCTCTATTATATACATATATGAAATTGTATAAATACAATTTACAGCAACAACAACAAAAACAACAACTATGTAAACCCAAAACTAAACATTTTGAAGAAAGCTAAAAAACATTTAAAAAACAACAAAATATCAACTCGTAGCAGTTTAAACATTGTCCAAGTGTCTTTAAGTTTTTAAACGAACGAAATCAATTTGCATAAATAGAAATCAAAAGATTGTTTTAAAGTAATACAAAAAGAAAAGGAAAGAAAGAAGAAAGGCAAAAGAAAAACAGAAGGAAAGAGAAAAACAAAAACACAGCCACAGCAATGCAATTAAACGTTTCCTCCGTTTCCAAAAACCAAATTTTCATTTGATTTGTTTTGCAACGAGACTTTTAACGAAAAAACTTTCATTTAGTTAAACAACAAACGCAAATGCATAAATTAATGTCTATGCAACTATAAAACAAAGATGAAAACACCCATTTTTATTAGCAACTTCTTTTCTAATTAATTAAAAACTCTTTGCTTTAGTTCTAATTATAATTTTTGTTGGTTTTTTATACATAAACAAAAAATCAAAATAAAAAACAAGTGAAGTAAAATATAAATAGATAATTGAGTTTTTATTTTAAATTAATTATTATTTATCATTTGTTTTGTATCAATTCTTAATATAAATTTTTTAATTTTCTTTTTTTTTTTATGTTATCATATTTTATTTGGAAATATTTTACTTCAACTATTTTAAAATTTTTATAATTTCAAATTAAAGTAAAAATTAAATAAATTCAAGTTATATTCAAACTAACATTTAACGCTTGCTAAACAATAAATAAAACTAATGAAAATGCAAAATATAAAATAAATTAAATTTAAATTTTAATATTTACTTTAAATATTTTTTAACTTTTCAGTTAAAAAATATATAGAGTAGAAATTAAAACAAATTTGTTTTTAGATTTGCAATTTTAATATTTTTATTTATTGTTTAGCAAGTGTTAAATAAAAATTGAATATAATTTGAATTTATTTAATTTTTACTTTAAAATGGCTAAAAAATTAAAAGAATTCCATTGGTTTTTTACATTTTACTTGCCAAAAAGGTAAATAAAAACAATTATGACATATTTTTTAAATGTTGCATCTTTAAAAAATTGAAAAATATTTAACAATTCTTATTCATGCCAGTTAAAAAATAAAGAAGTTTAATTAAAGCTTTCTGTTTTATTTTTTAGCAAGCATGAAAAAGAATTGTTAAAAATTTTTCAATTTTATAAAATTTTAACAAAAAGAGTTAAAAATATATTAAAATTGTTTTTATTTATCAATTTTTTTGGCAACATTCAAAAACAAATTCAAAATAATTTTTTTTAGCAGATTTTGAAGTTTTAAAATATATGAAGTAGAAATATTGAAGAATTTTTGATTACTTTTTTTCATTTTAATATTTCTAATTTTTTTATTTATTTTTTAGTTTTGTTTTTATCTAGTGGGCTGGCCTGTTTATCAATTGGACCAATTTGTTTGTAGAATTCTTTCCGATTCCCACTTGAAGCACACGCATAAAAAATATGACATTAAAATCTAAATAAATAAAATAAAGTAAATTAAGCAACAAATCTGCTTCGCCTTGTTTTTCAGAAACATTTAACTTATGTACAATTAATTTGTAAGACGATTTTACATAAATCAAATATTTAATGTAAATTTTTTGTAGCACAGCAAATGATAAAAAAACAATCGCATCTATTCATAATATCGTAAACATCTATTTGTAGCTTAAATGTTTTTATTATGACCATTTGTTGCTCATTGTTAAAAGGAAACTGAAGGAAAGATAACTAGATGAAAGCAAAGGAAATTTATGTTTTGCGTTGCTTTTGAGAAAAAACTTAAATATAAAAGATTAACAAATAAAATAGAAGGATAAATCAAGGACTACTGATACGATTTTTAGGCGTCGTTTTTTCTCCCGTATAACTTACGTAAACAATAGATATTTTTGCATATTATATAAACACTTTAAACGATATTTCTATATATATATGTATGTAATTGTAAGTGAAACTTTGAAATTAATGCGAGATTTTTTCAAGTGCAAATCAACTTCTATATATCACATAAATGTGCTAGACAGTGACAGCAGCAGTAAACAATATAAAAGAGTAGAGCAGTGAATGTCAAAGAGCTGAGTTGAGAGATATTGTCGCAAAAATTTCAATAAAAGTAAAACTTAAATAAAATTACAAATAAATCCGATTCAAATTACTTCAAAAGGCGCGTAAAAGCAACCAGCTTTTGTCCAGCATACGCTTATAGTCTCTCGGAGGCTGTCAGAACTGCTTGAGCTTGCAAAGCTTAACGCTAGAGGGCTAACCGCATGGACTGCCATAAAGCATACAAGGGGGCTCTGTCGAAAAAAATAATAAACAATACGCATGTATGACCTTCGTACAAGGTGACTGGGACACAGTGCGCGCTCGACCAACCAGAGAGTGTAAATGAGCGCGAAAAATCGCGCGTTACAATAAGAGAGCTATATTAAATGCAATCAAAGTGTTGCAAGCAATGCCTTTAACTTAACATAAATTTTGCCAATGCCATTTGGCGAATTCCGTTGAGTATTCGACGCGCTGATAAGACCGAAAACACAGAGTCTGCCATAAGCACAATTGTTTACAAGAGAGCAGTTTGAACGAAAGAGAGAAAGCTGTTTTGTTCGAAAAAAAAAAATGAGTGAATAAGATTAGTGTTGCTGGCAAAGATATACCCTGCATTAAGTAGCTGGCATAGAAATACAATGAATAATATCTGAAAATATGTTAACTATAAGTGCGAGGCAAAGCTTTCCATAGAGTGTATATATATTTGACTTAATTTTAGTTTAGTGGGTCATGTGAACAGTTGTCTGAGGAGAGCATCATTTAAAGTAATATACCTTTCAGCTGGGCGAATGCTGGGCATTAAAAGCTCTAGTGACTAATAACGCATACGAAAACTGCACGCCGTCTGAGAAGTGCTCCGAATTTTGCAGCGAACGGTCGTATATAGTTGTGCGCGCAACGTTCATCGTCTTCGCTGGTTCGCGTATTAAAATTCGTATTATAGTTTTTCCTACGCACCCACGCAGCAGCAGTAGCAGCGACAGAGGCAGCGGCAGAGGCAGAGCAAGTGACAGGCAGATAGAAAGAAAAAAATAACAACTACCTCAGTTAGCAGCAGAGAGTCGAAGGCAAAATGTCGAAGCCACAATCGGACGCGGATCGCAGGAAGCAAATATCGGTGCGCGGCATCGCTGAGGTGGGCAACGTAACCGAAGTGAAGAAGAACTTCAATCGCCACTTGCATTACACCCTGGTCAAGGATCGCAATGTGTCCACGCTGCGCGATTACTACTTTGCGCTGGCCAACACTGTCAAGGACAACATGGTCGGACGCTGGATACGCACACAGCAGCACTACTATGAGAAGGATCCCAAGGTTAGTTGACAACCCTGTCTGGATTATTGATTTTTTTACTGCGTACTCGAATTTTCTAAATGCGACCAAAAATACCTAACCCAACTTTGACTTCGAAAAGGAGGCCAATGTTAGCCTTTGGGTTTGTTAAATTTTTCGGGTTTTTTTTCGTTTTTGCTATTACGACATGCATTTTGTGCTTTGCGCTTTCGGCCTATATTCTTACTTATGTGTCTCTCTCTCTCTGCATTTGGCCAAAAATTGTTGTTGTTGGCGCTTTTATTTTCTGTTAATTTTTATTAACTTCTCTTTCTTTTTATTTTCATTTTTGTTTTCATCACTCGCTCGCGCTGCATTCGCCGCAGCGCCTTCTATTGCTTTGCTCTTTCCTCCTTTCCCACTTTTGCATTTCTTATTTTTTTTTTTTGTCTAATTGCTGTAAATTTTGGTTGCTGAAGTGCAGTGGGATCAATGCCAAAAACGTGTGAATGCCAGGCCAGAGCGCTTGAGCTACTTTCACTGCGGTGAATTTGGCAAGGGGAGGAAAATACAGGCATATGTGTAGGTGCGTGTGTTTGTATGCAAGTAGTGTCTTAGTCTCAAAATGCCGGTGTCCTACTCCATGAGCAGCTGAGAAAAAGAAAAAAAAAAAACAAATTATAAATAGCTTATTGTTGCCAATCAGCAGCTGTCGCTGTCGCTGTCGCACGTTAGCTTTGACGATAATGAAGAGAGCGAGAGGGAGAACGCAATTGAGAGCTTGTAAAATATGAATTTCTAATAAGTAATTTCAAATCGCGATCAGTCGTTCGACCTGTAAAGACGTGAATTCGAACAGCCTTCGCTTAAGCTCTACTGCTGCAGAGTTCTAAAAATAGAACTTTGCGGTGCATTCTTCAACGCAACAGCAACAAAAACCGCACACGCAGCGTTTTCTTATCGCTTGCTTCCGCGTAACTCAATTGCTTTAATTGCAATTTACGAAATTTCGTCGCTTGGCGCGAGTGCGCCTGCACTCAAAAGCACAATCCGCGATGACATCTAATGTCAATAACCTCGCTACAGCTGTAAAGGTAAATGCAGAAATGCAAGCCCAGCTTAACGTTGTGATGGCAAATAGGCAAGCCTCCATCATGCCAATAAACTCAAAAATAGATATCGCCTCCGTGCAAGGCATCACTAACAACAAAAACACGAAACGTAAACAGCCAAATTCACCAAAAACCATCAAGAAAAGGCTCATCTTCGACGAACCAAGCACCAGCAATGCAGCATTAATATCAGAAAATCGATTTTCACTGCTCGTAGAAGAAGATGAAGACTACAGCGAATCACCTGTAGCTCCAGAAGCCCCAGTATTGACCGACCAGCAAACTACTCCGAAACCTCGTCCGCCCCCCATATGGTGTCCAAACATCAAGTCTGTGGCCCTACTTCAACAGATAATAGATAAAGTAAT